AAGTCTCGCCGTGACCAAGAAAAATCGGTTCACCCTCCCATAAAAAGTTATCACTTCAAAAAAACTTAGAAAGTTCTAATGAACATCGGAACTGTACGAACCGCGCGGATCGATTTTGCACACAGACAAGATATGAATAGTTAAACATTTCTTTCGGCGCTATGACGAATTGGAGCATTTACATTATCTACGCAGAACATTAGGCCACAATTGCATAAAACTGCAGAAGAATTGGGTTAATCAGATTGGCAACAAGACGTTCGAAGCTATTTGCTAAGCTTACCATAATATAAGGCACAGCCTCTAAAAATTTCCTCATTTTCGGATTGTTGCTGTGTTCCACCAGCAGCTTTGGTCCATGACCATCCCAAATTACTTGTTGCAAGTTGGCCATGTTCCTCTGATGAATCCATATTCGAATGTTCGATTTTTTGAAATTGAGACCTGAATAATTCTATAATTAGTCCGAGTTTTTAGTAACATAAAATGGTTGATGATTATTTATAGGAGTGAACTCCTATCATGGCCTGATCCACTTAGAAAGCCGCCGTTAAAAACTAATAAAATAAACGCACCTGTCTGAGAAGTGATTTCCCTCATAATTTATGTTACCACTGTTGTGACACGCACCAAGTCTGGACTGAAATTAATGAAGAGCGCACCAATTTCTTCGCATTTCCATACAAACAAATGATCATGTGATGACAGTCACATGACCCTACATTTAATTATTTAGCATCCCCATCGATTATGGGGGGAATTCACCACGTTTAACCCCTGCTGGTGACCGGATATCGATTTGGAACATACTCCGCGCTTAAAATGTACTAGCGGAATTAACTAACTGTGAACTTTGCTAGTTCAAACACCCAACGTCCAAATGGGTTAACACGAATATGAGAAATGATGTGTATTGATGATGGGACTATTGGCCCCCATAAAACTAGTGCCGACTGCCAGAAGTTAATTAGTTGGGAGTTCTCGCTATGGAATAGCCAATAAATATTATTACGGCCATGAGAGATCTGGATAGATTGATTGAACTTTCCATAAAGTTGAACTAATTTTTTTGAGTCTCTATGTGCAGTGGCGGCGCCTTAGAAAATTGATCAAGTGTGCACAATCGCCAGCTAAAAACATCGAAACATGATGAAAGAAAAATAAAAATCACATCGTCAATCACTAAGAAAAATATGAAACCAAGCCTTCACGGAAACGTGGGCTTTGGTATTATTTTGTTAAATTGTTTTGAAAATGAACAGGTAATTATGTAGATAATAAAAAATTATGGAAATTGGTCTGCACATACTGGAAAAAGTGATAACTTCTGTCTTATTATTATCTGCAGCTTCTCCCTTGATAATATGTTGATTCAGCGTTATAAAATAAACTGCACCGAACAAAATAATATCACACTCAATATGTGTATTTGAAAAGTTTATCAGATCTACAGATGCACCCGCACTAAGAGAAAAATGTCGAATTCGAAGTGCATTTGTGCGTCCCAAGCCTGAGGCGCGAAGTCTCGCCGTTACCGAGAAAAATCGCCTCACCCTCCCATAAAAAGTTATCACTTGAAAAAGTTCTCTTCTACAATTTTTTGATGAAAAGTCACAGCGGCAACGATGTTTATTGTGGTGAAGGTGCACTTTATATCTGGCGGATTTCGGCGTTATTTTAAATTTTCCCTTAAAGTACACTTAAGCAAAGCACATTCAAGGAGAAAAAATGCGGATGATTCATCAATTTCCAGAAAAAACACTTACAAACTGTTGAAAATCATGTCCAAATCACAATTTA